TTGTTTCTTTACCGACCAGATGGCATGTTGAATTTCGGAAGGGAGAACATTGGGAACGACATATCCATCATGTGGTATGTGGTATGTGGGCAAGTGGACGTGGTTATTAAAGAGATCTGAGTAGAAGTCATGAATAATCTTCTCCATTGCCCTTCTGGAAGATGTGATAGATCCATCATGATGTCGGAGGACAGTCATCTTGGTTTTGTAGTTAGTGAAGGACAGGCGGGCTTTACAAATGCTTTTCCCAGCTTCTGCCGCATCTACCAGTACTGCTGCTCTCCTGTTTTTGAGGTCATCCTTGATGGCTTCTCTGCACTGTTTTGCCAGTTTGGACGTTCACTTGTGGTTGCCTGAGGCATGTGCCAGGCCACGTTGGCGAATAAGTTCAAGAGTGTTCGAAGAAAGGCGGTTTTTTGTGGTTATCTCTCTCTTGGTATTCCTCGTACAATCATGGAGGTGTTGAATCATTTGATCGTATTCCTCATCAATGTTGTCAATGACGGCATCTTCCCATGTTGCCGCAACAGAGCCAAAGAGCTCCCAGTTGGTGGTCGTTCTGGGAGTCCTCTTCTTAAACCTTGCATTCTTTTCTCCTCGTTCTGTGAGGTAGAATTTTGCACGAAGAAGACGGTGGTCTGATCCCGTTTGGAATTTTGGGACAACAGCAACATCGGTTAGGGAAAACTGCCGATTGAATATGATGTGGTCTATTTCATTGTGGAATCGTCCATCGGGAGACTCCCATGTCCAACGTTTAGATTCAGCCTTTTGGAACTGTGAGTTACCATGGAAGGTTTTGGTTGACATGATAAACTCAGACAGTCTGTCACCCTGTTCGTTCCATTTTAGGCCATGGGTCCCGATGTGGAGTTCATCGACTGATCTTCTTGGTCCTATCTTGGCATTAAAATCACCAACAATGATCTTGTAGAAGGTGTGATCTTCTTTATAGAACTTCTCCAGCTCCATGTAGAACTTCTCAGTTTCTCTTTCACCATAACTGGATGTTGGTGCATAGACAACAAAGATAGAAACTGCCGGTAGTGAGCCACATCTATTCAAGTGTAATGGTCCTATTTGGGTTGTTAGGCATTTGAATGAATCAATGCTCGTGGCTAAGTTTGTGTTGACAAGGATACTGACACCACCGACGCCTCTTTTATCACATGTTCCAAGGAACAGTTCTTCTGCAGTGTCGAAAATGGCATGATGTGATTGATGTCTTCTCATTTCGGTCAGACCAATGATGTCGTACTTTATCTTTTGCACTTGTACCATAAGGTCTTCAATGGATGCAGTAGACGTCAGCGTACGAGCATTAAAAGTACAGACAATCATTTTTGTTTTTCTTCATTTTGGCAGCCTATTTCTGCCTTGGTATTTTATCAGCCTTTCCTTCCATATCCTTCTCGACTCTGCCATATTCAGGGTTAGGGAAATGAGATCCATTTATTACTGGATTTGGCATATCAATTTGGTCTATTTGGAATAGACCACGGATAGCTTGCCAGGCTCTGCCGTGCGGGTGGGATATTTAAAGTACCCTGAAAACTTAGAGAAAAGTAAATAAATAGTCCCGGGAGCTTGTTGTGATAATCTCTGGATCCTGGCCGTTGTTGGGGTTACACGGCAGTTGGAGGGTGTAACTGTCTAGCTACTGACAGGTCCAGTCCCAAACCGTGCAGGCTTGGAGATCTCAGCCCCGGGTCCCACATACCTGGGTTCCTGTCAGTTCTGTTATGCCTGAGGCTTATCCAAGTGTGTGGAAAGTGGCCTCAGTATGGCCTTGGCTGGGGCCTGGTGGTCTTCAGCTGTTTGGGCCCTGGCGAGGATAGTCAGGCACAGGGTAGGAGACTCTGCCTTGTGCTCTCCCGGGAGCTTGTTGTGATAATCTCTGGATCCTGGCCATTGTTGGGGTTACACGGCAGTTGGAGGGTGTAACTGTCTAGCTACTGACAGGTCCAGTCCCAAACCGTGCAGGCTTGGAGATCTCAGCCCCAGGTCCCACACATTTTTTTTCATATTTTATATATAATTTTTATATTTTAAATTTAAATATATATAAAAATTTAAATATTATATATAATATTTAAATATTAAACAATATTTAAACAGGATCCAATTTTAATAATGCCAATAATTTTAAAAATTATGGATCTGGCACAATTTCATATACCTAGTGTGTGCATATAAGCCAAAGTTATGTATTATTTTAATGTATCCTATTGAGCTAACTACACATAGGTATAAAGTTACTCTTAAAATAAGACAAATGTATTTAAATTGTGTATTATTTATTTTCTTTCCATTTATTTTCCTTTTCTTTTCTCTTTATCCCTCCTCTCCTCTCCTCTCCTCCCCTCTCCTTCATTTATTTTTGCAATAAGGTCTACCAAGCAGTGCCCCAAGAGTCTATCAGCCTCTTCCTGAAATACTCCACCATCTAGCCCATGATTAAATGCCAGGGTCTAAAGTTATGGTTCTACTTAGGTATTTCCATGCTGGGAAATACTCAGGTCACCTCTCTGCTGCTCATGCAAATAAAGAATTTAAATGGAAATTCATTTAAGCAACTTAACTCATATGTGGACAACAACTGTGGGTTTAATGTAAACATCAGCATCCCCAGAGGAAGTTAAGTTTACAAGGTAATTACATTACTAAAAATGCAGGATCCAGTATATTATCAGATTAAAATAAAAATTTTGAAAATATAAATTTCATGCTAAAGTTTTTTTTCTTTTATATTAATAAATGAAGATGATGTGCCTAATTTCACACTAGAGCATCACAATACCATTTTTTTCTAACTACTTTGCTGTTTCACCAAACTGCAAAGTCAACTCTAATTTCACACAATTAAAAAACCATATTCATTATCTGAAAAAATGACTAAATTCAGTTCAAGAGGTATAACACTGAGTTGAGGGATACACTGTTTAGTTTTGTTATTAGATTGTCATTTAAAATTTTGATAAATTGCTACATTCTGGCTGTATTTTCCTCCAATTAAAAACTTTGTTTGCAAACAGTATGTATAAATATTTTTTGGACAGGTAAATTAATTACATTGTCAAAGATGCATTTATTGTTTAGATTATTATTATTTTAGAATATTTTCTTCAGTTAAATCATAGTTGTTAAATATTGAGGTATTGTGATTTTTTTTTTGTTTTCTTCTACTTTGTTGTGCAAAAAAGTACAGAATTAAAAGTGAATACCAGGTTGGAGTGATAGCACAGTGGGTAGGGTGTTTGCCTTGCACACAGCCAACCTGGGTTTGATTCCCAGCATCCCTGAGCACCGCGAGGAGTAACTCCTGAGTGCTTGATCCAGGAATAACCCCTGCGCAACACCAGGTATGACCCAGAGCCAAAAAAAAAAGTGAGTATAAACCTGAAATAGTAGAATATTTATCAATGAGTTTTGAAAATATTATTTTAGCTCCATGTATAATTCACTCTGGGGCATACAAACACTGATAGTACTGAAGGGTAAGGAGATTACTTATTGGAGGAAAAGAAAATCAATTTTTGTATTAGGAGGCAGAAAAAATAAGGCAATAATCCAAAATAAATGAAGGTATAAATTTTGTTATTGGGAAATGCATATTTTGATATGTAGTACAATTTCATAAATTTTACTCCTATGTCTACCAAGTTAATGTATACAAATTTACATTGGTTCAAATATTTAGCTTCATGTTATAACTGAACTAATTTCTCTGGAAAATATTTCTTGAAATCCAAAGCCTCTAAAATGTAAATTTCTTACAATTATAACTATACTCTATAAACACACATTAACAAGTTAACTAACATAAATGTTATTTGCCTCACAAAGCTATAGTTCTTAAGTATTCTCCACCTTCATTTACAAAATAATATTCTTGATTATTTGCCTTTGTGACTGTTCCAATGTTAAGATTGAAAAAGTAGAAGATATTCTGAGAACAAAAATTTTTTAGGCATATTATTTTTAAATATATGGTCCTCATTCGCCTGACCCTAAAAGTCTCCAAAATGCCATCGGGATACACTAGCACTTGTCAGGGACAAATGGAGACATTACTGGTGCCTACTTGAGCAAATTGATGTACAACGGGAGGACAGTGACAGTGACTATTTTTAAAAACACTGACTTATAATGACCACAAAGAGGACACAAATTTATAATTAGATAGCTTGAATTCTGAGTCTTATATACTGTGTTCATTGCAAGTCAGATTCCTGTTTATTGCAATGCAGTAACCCTCAGATCTTGAAGAATAATACTACACAAAAAATGGGGAAGAATTAAATATTGGTCATGTATTCAATATGCCAAACACAGTAACAAGTCTCACGGTAGAGACGTTACTGGGCCCGCTTGAGCAAATCGATGAACAACAGGAGGACCATGGACCATGGACCATGAGAATCAGAAAGAATATGGTGAAAGTAGCAGAGTTATATACTAAAAAAATGTTTTTAATTGCAAAAACAAAACAAAATGTGATGAATAAAAAGAACAATAAATTTAAAAAGAGATATTGGCATGCTTAGAGAAATAGATCATTGAATAAATTATTGAAATGCAAGCTTCATAATTAGCAATTTTCATATTTGAGAATATATTTTCATTTTTCACTAGCCCCAATTGACAAGTATACTGGCATTTTGTGTATGAAATACATAGAAACCAAAAGTAAACAGAAAGTTTAGCAGAATGGATTTCTAGAAATTGTTTGGATTTAGATAATTTTTTGAGATATTTGTTAAACACATTAAGATGTTCCACTAAAACTTCCATTAAGATGGTCAAGGTTCACACACATCCCGTGTATTACAAAAAAAAGCTACAGATTCTGATTATTCATATTATGTCAGAAATAATAACTACCCTCTTTTTAAGGATTGAGAAGAGGGTAGTGATTCTATCCCACTTATATCAAACTTTTATATCAACACTGGGAGGAAAAGCAGTTTATGGATTGAAATGTTGAGTAATATACTTACTACAGTTTTCAGCTTTCCTATTGTCCCGGATCACTATTCTTTGGTTGATGGTGCTGAAAAGAGTTGTCCAATTTATGGTATGGTAATAACACAAGTTGCTATTGTCAGTGATATAGATGTTTCCTGCGCTGATTTCCTTCAGAGATTGGAACTGTAGAGAAGTAATACCTTGTTGCTTGAGGATAAGTAAAGAGAGGCCACTAAAGAGAAGGAAGTAGGAAAATAATAAGTATTTTCTCTCTAAGAAATGCATTTTGCTGTCAGGTAAAATGTCACATCTTAGTCTACCAAGTTAAATGCTAAAATGAGGCTGATTCAATCAATACATTTCACTTAAACATCATTTCTTTACCTGATATATAGTGACTTAAAAAAGTAACCTTCTGCCCCCTAAAGAGAAATGTTCATTTTAAGCACTGTCTGTAGCACTGTCCTCCCGTTGTTCATCGATTTGCTCGGGCGAGATACTCTCAGTAGTTTGCTGGACTCTCCGAGAAGGGTGGAGGAATCTAACCTGGGCCCATCGGGTCGTCCGTGTGCAAGGCAAATGCCCTACCCGCTGTGCTATTAATTTTGTAACATTTGCTCTGTCTATATAAATTTTTACTGACATGGCTACACATCACCTTTTCTACTACCCCTAGATGATTTTTGTTTGGGGGAAACACCTGGCAGTGCTCAGGTTTTACTTCCAGGTCTGCTCATAAGTCATTCCTGGGAGGCTTCCGGGGCATATCTGATGCTGCGGATCAAACCTAGGGAAGATATGTGCAAAGTAAGTGCTCTGCCCATTGTTCTATCACTCTGTTCAACCCTTAAATCTAAAATTCCCTGATAATGGAGTCCTGTGTTAAGACTAAGTAATTTATTTTTTATGGACTCATTCATCTATTCAACATAAAACATTAATCCAATTCTATTTAATAAATTTAGATATGTTTTCAATGGAAAATTTTCATAGAGAATATCTATAGATATTTAGATTAATTCTTACCCCCAAACCCAAACAAATTTAGTATAATAATGGGAAAAGATATGTCAGGATATAAAGTACTCAATATTAAAAAGAAGCATAAAATCAAACAAAAATATATAGTAAGGGCTTACACAACTGGGAAAAGCATCTCTAAAATTTAAATAACAACTACTCTGAGAAAACAAATGTTCAATTTCAATATAATCCAACCTTTTTGTTGTTCTATCTCTGTTTCATTTTTGGGAGGGGGTCACACCTGCTGAAGCTCAGGGATTACTCCTGCTTTGCATACAGTAATCATTCTTGTCAGTGCTCAGGGGACCATATGGAATGATGGGGTCAAACTGGAATTGGTTACATTCATGGCAAGTGCTTTACCCCAAGAGTGCCATTTTGTAACTAAATTCTTTCTCCAGTGTTGGGAGAGACTAAAAGGGTTAATATCTTGAATGCATGCAACCCTGGTTCAATCTCTGTACTGCATGTGATCAATTAAGCTCTGACAGGAGTTAGAATAGGTCCATTGCCAAAGTATGGTCCCTCCTATTTAAAAAAAAAAAAGTCATAAAAAATCTCTTTCCTCTGCCCCTCTCGGAGAGCCCGGCAAGCTACCGAGAGTATCTCGCCCGCACGGCAGAGCCTGGCAAGCTCCCCGTGACATATTGGATATGCCAAACACAGTAACAACAAAGTTTCCAATGGAGACATTACTGGGCCCGCTTGAGCAAATCGATGATCAACGGGAGGGCCTTTACTTACTTTTATTCTCTCATAAATTAATATTAAACAGTTAAATTTCATTCAAGTAATAAATGTGATTGTGATTTTACATTATGGAAATCAAAGCTGCCCCTCTTTAGTGTACACACACATACACATAATTGCATGTATATATTTATTGTACTTTGACATTGATATTCAATTTTATGTGTGTCAACTTGTATGTGTTAAACTTAAATGTAATTTTCTGTCTCAAATCTTTTCTTTCATCATAACCACCTTGATTGTTGTTGACAGTATATACATAACTTCTTGAAAAATTCATGACTTTCTACTAAGTGGATGGAAAATGTTTTTCGTATAGGACAGCATGCTAGGGACTAACTCAGCTTTTTTGTTGTTAAGTACTTCTACTCCTTATAATGTTAAAATATTTTAAAGACATGCCTATTTTTTATAAGAAAAAATCCAATTGTCTTCCTGTAAAATATAAAATATCTGATGTAGTATTAATTTGATACCTGTTAAAGTCAAAAAAGTAAATAAATCAACTTTAACTGATTTATTTACAAATGTTAAATAAATCAATTTTAACTCTCCAGTATTTCATAGATAAAATTAAATTAAAAAATAATTCATTCCTTAACATAGTAATCACTTTTTATTATGTGAATAAAAATATTGGCATTAGACCAGTGTTTCTTGAATACTAATTTTTTCTAGTGATGCATATAAAGTGCTATAACATGACCATTGATAAATAGAACCAAAAACAAAACAAGAACCTCCTGGTAAAATACACTGTGTCGCATACACCTAGCCACTATCAAATCAGCCAGTTCTGTTTTTTGACAGGATCAAATGAAGATTAAAGTTTATGATTCACATCATGCATTCCAAAATGCAATCCCCTTAAGTTATAGGTAATTTAAAAGATAATTTTAAAAAATCTATTCTTCATACTTTGAAGCACAGTCAGGGGTATAATTCATTGAGTTTATCTCTGGAATTAAAAGTTCAATATCTCTGCTGATTTCACTGTGGTACCTCAGATGGGAGCAGGCATCTTCTCTCTCCCTACCTGCACCAGGCAACCCTGGCAGTCTCAACCTTAAGAAACCAATCGCATCACCCTCACAGTCAATCTTCACAGGCTCATCCTGCCTCCCACCCCACAACAAGAGAATAAATACGCTGAAAAACCCAGGTATCATAATCAGTGAGTGAAAACTCCAGACCTCAGGGGGGCAGGATTGGGCAGTCCTTTCCCATTTCCCTGCCCTTTGTCATGCCCAGGAACTGCCTCTGGGTACCATTTAAGCACTTTAACGGCCATGACCCACGGACTCACAAATGAATCCCAGAACAGAGCAATTCACTGCACAGATGGTTCCTGACCTCGATTATTTAAATTTTTAGACTCCCAGGAGTGAGTGGCCACTTTAATGGCCCTGCAATATTATATAGCATATATATATATATATATATATATATATAAAGGTAAAAAGGTAAAGGCCCTCCCGTTGATCGTCGATTTGCTCGAGCGGGCCCAGTAACGTCTCCATTGGAGACTTTGTTGTTACTGTGTCTGGCATATCGGATACTCTCGGTAGCTTGCCGGGCTCTCCGAGAGGGGCGGAGAAATCGAACTCGCGTCGGCCATGTTGGCTGCTTGTAAGGCGAACGCCCTACCCGCTGTGCTATTGCTCCAGCCATATGTATATATATATATATATATATATATATATATATTACTTTTTTTTGAATCACTGTGTGATAGACCCTTACAGACATCTTATACTATTCATAACAAGAAATATAAAATAAATTATCTTGAATCTGCCCATGGGACAGGCATGAGTGGTGGTAAGAAATTTTAAAATAATGGTGGTAGAAAGGTATAATGGTGGTGAGATAGGTGTTGAAATATTGAATGTAATAAATTATTGTGAACAATTTTACGAAAATAATATTGAAAATTATTTTTAAAGTTCAGTATCTTTAAAATCAACTTGATCATTGTATAATTGAAACCCAAGCACAAAAATTTGTAAGTCTACAATGTACCATCAGGTGTTTCACTAGTAAAAATTAAAAACAAAATAATATCAATGTATCAATGAGACTGATGTCTGACAAATTGTGCTAATGGTTCTCCTCTTGAAATCAGGAAGGCCTGCTCTGACCATATGTACCTACCTATAGAGTACTCTTCCTCCGATAGTGACCAGGTTAGAAAAAACACTAAAGTCAGTCATGTTTGGTGGCCATGATTGTATGTTCAAGAAACCTACAAAAGATAAGAACCATAAAAAAATTTCAGGTTGCCATGTCTCAGTAATTACATTTAATAGTGATTCTACTTAAAATATGATTAAAATTCATAAAAGGAAGAGAGATAATTAAAGGGAGGTGAATATTATTATTTTTGAACCATTATTTTTCTTACTTATTTGTCATATTCAGTATTTATTCAGAGTTTCTGAACTATACAGAGGTAATAAATATCAAAAGTAGAACGATGCCATCAGCAAAGCAGAGGTGTGTAGTTGCCGACAGTCTATCTTCACTCCCATTCCTTCCCATTCCAGTTGTCGCATAATGTTCTTGAGGGTGGCACTGAAGACTTCCGGTGAAATGGTATCAACTTGCCGAACCCCTTTCTTGATGTCGATGATCATTTCCTTGTAGAATGGTGAGATCCTGGTAGTGAATCCGTAATACAGCTCATGAAGGATTCTGATGTATTAAGTTTGAACGCCCTCTTTGGCTAAGGCTTCAATGACTGCTTCAGTCTGAACAGAATCAAAGGCCTTCTTTAAATCAATGAGCATTAGACAAAGTGGCATCTGGAACTCCAGAGAAACCTCGATGACCTTGGTTACCGTGTGGATATGGTCAATCATGCTGAATACTTTTCAGAACCCGGCTTGTTTGCAAGGTTGTTCTTTATCCAGTGTTCTGCCAGTCCTATTCAGGATGACTTGAGTGACCAGCTTGTAGACGACAGACAACAGGCAGATCAGGCGATAGCTGCCAATGTTGTGATTTCTCCATTCTTGTACAGTAGAATGGTTCTGTTGGTTTTCCATTGGGACAGAACTTTGCATTCGGACAGGCTGTGTGTGAAGAGTCGAGCTAGTATATTGATGAGTACTGGTGTCAGATTCTTCAAGTGTTCAGGTCTGATCTTCTCTGGGCCAGGTGCTATTCGCTTCTTTACTGACGAAATGGCGTGTTGGATTTTGGAAGGGAGAATGTTGGGCATGACATATCCATACTGCACAATTTAGTATATGGGCATTTGGACATGACTATAGAAGAGATTCAGAATTTATGGATAATCTTCATTGCCCTTCTGGAAGATGTGATGCAACTACACCACCTCCACTTCACTGATGACATCGTTCTAATAACACCAAACATTAGCCAAGCAGCACAAATGCTGGCCAACTTCGACCATGAGTATGGAAAGGTCGGACTACAGCTGAATCTCATGAAGACAATGTTCATAAAAAATGGAATCGTTCCTGATGCTCCATTTGCTCTCAATGAAATAAACATCTCCAAATGTAGCAGTTAGTTATGTGTACCTAGGTTGAGAACTCAACATGATGAACAACCTGGCACCTGAGCTGTGCAGGAGGAAGAGAGAGGCTTGAAACACCTTCAAGAATGTTGAAGAAATAGCAACGAGGATGAAGAACCTCTGGCTCCAGGCACATCTTTTCGATACCACTGTTCTTTCTGCATTAACACATGCCTCAGAGACCTGGGCCCTATGAAAAACACGATGAGAACGCTATTCGGGTCTCCCAAAGAGGAATTAAAAGAGCTATGCTTGTAGTATCACGACTCATTCAAATGAGAGAAGGAATCTGGAGTTCCAACTTCCATCAATGATCAAGAATCAGGGACACTGTCTCGTTGGCCAAGATGTCAAAAATCAGATGAGCTGGACATGAAATTCGATTTGAAGACAACCACAGGAGTAGAACCCTTAGCGACTGGATTCCACAGGATGTCAAAGAAATGCATGGCTGCCCACGTACAAATTGGTCAGACTTCTTTGTCAAGATCCTGAACAAACATTTTGAGGCTCTTCATGTTCGTGGAACGAGCAGTTGTCACTAGGCTACACTAGCACGTGACAGGGATGAATGGAGACAGTACTGGTGCCCAATCAAGCAAATCGATGAGTAATGGATATTAAGTGATCAAGAAAATTATCTAAATAACGAGCAGTAGGTAGTCCCTATCTCTAAGACATAGAAAATTATGTTAATAAAGACAACAGAAACTGAGAATTGGTGTTTACCACAAAGCTTTCCTTAGAGGAAAATGGAGGAGGGAGACACTGCAGCAATGGTGGAGGGAAGTGGACAATGAAGGATGTGGTGCAGGAATGTGTTATACATGAAATCTTATCATTAAGAGGATTGAGAACTATAATAAAATGAAATTTAATAAAACCTCACGCCTAAAATAAAATTTAGGAAAACATGTTAAAAGTTTGGAATACGTCCCTTTTATTATTCTTTAAAAAGTATAGATTAAACTTTTCTAACTTTTGTGAAATTCTTTATTACTCAGTGTGGAAACTTGCAACATTGGTTATGTCTAGTATATATCTCTATAATTATTGCCATAAGGAATTTACTTACATACCTAATATTCCTATGTTCATTTCAAATTATTTGTTAGTAAAATTTCTGGTTCATATCTATGTTCCACATTACATTTGTTTATTTATTTATTTATTTATTTGTCTTTTGAATCACACCCTGCAGTGCTCAGGAGTTACTCCTGGCACAGCACTCAGGAGTTACTCCTGCCAGTGCACAGGGGACCAGATGGGATGCGGGGAATCGAACCTGGGTTGGCCCCATGCAAGGCAAACACCCTACCTGCCATACTATAGCTCCAGCCCCCACATTACCTTTTTATAACAGTCTGAACAATATTATGTGCCCAATAAAGTACGTGTCAAAATAATGCCACCTACTTAATTTATATATGACAGAACTGGTAAAAATGTAAACAGGAAAATATGCATTTAAAGGTTCAAATGAGGGGGCTAGGGGTATATTAAAGCTAGGTAGGGCTGAACCTTGCAGAGCTGAACCTGGTTGAAACTGGGTTCAATCCCTGGCAACCCAAATGATTCCCTGATTCATCCAGGAGTGATTCCTGAGCACAGAATTAGGAGTAAATCCTAATTGCCACTGGTTGAGACCCCCATCCCTGCTTCCCCCCTCCAAATGATTCAAAAGTTCAGCCGACAATTTCAGAAACAGTAACTTCAAAATTTCAAGGTAATTCTTCTTTATATTCCATGGGCCATTAAAAGATATACAAATGGTAAGGAATAAGATATCTATCATTTAAAAGAGAATGTATTTTTTATAATTAGAATTTGCTATAAAAATGCTTATCTAACTACAATCTTATGGTTTGCTTTCAAGAAAACAATTTTCACATAATTCACTGTTCAATAATTACAGTTTAACAAATTACCTGTTATCTCTCGAACCGTCCGAAAGACATTCAATTTCTCTGGGTCTATGGCCTCTATTGCATTATAAGGATCCCTAGAAAATTAAAAAGAAACACAAACAAATATAAAATTATGTGTAGGAGTACAAATAAGTGAAAGATGATAGTTCTTATTCAAATTCAACTTTATCAACGGATAGCGTACCAATACCTTGTTTAAATTTTTCTGTTATAGATATGGCCGGCCAAGGTTCGATTCCACCGCCCCTCTCGGAGAGCCTGGCAAGCTACCAAGAGTATCTCACCCGCACGGTAAAGCCTGGCAAGCTTCCCGTGATGTATTTGATATGAATAACACAATAACTACAAGTCTCACAATTTGTTGTGAAATGTTACTGGTGCTGCTTGAGCAAACCAGTGAACAACTGGAGGACAGTGCTACAGTGCAGATATGCAGGTGGAACTTTAAAGATTCCTTGAGAAAATTTTTGATGACATTGAATACTGTCATTATCAAATTCTATTCTAAAATCTGAAGGATTGTTCAAATTGACTACTGAAAATTAACCTCAAAATGTAGCATTTTCTTTTGCTAACCATTTTATTTACATTTTTTAAATGCATTCATATTTTGGAAAATACAACAGCTAAAAAACTTGTATTGAGGACAATTATTATTTGAGCTCCTCAAAGAATTCTAAATTGTTAATACCATCTCAAACAATACAGGAAAAATAAAAATGCATGCACACTCACAAAATCATCCTTTTCTGCTATATCTTCATATTTACTCATGAATGTTTGTACTATTCATAATATTCAAATGGCAGTTTCTAGACATAGAGCTTACATGTACAATCTTGTTCTTCCTGATTCATTCATATTTACTTTGTAACACATGAACTACTGGTTTCAATCTACATGAACTATAGTCATGTTTGAAATATATAAATGCAATACAAATTTACAAGAGTATACATTTTTGAAACTTGAAATGCTGCATGATTTTATGCATTTAATTCACACCATTTACTAGTGATTCAAGCAACACTCACAGTTTGGCTTTATTTTGGGTTTGGGGGACACATTTATTAGAGCTCAGAGGCTATTTCCAGCTCACTGTCTCATGGTTACCCTGGGCAGTGCTCAAAGAACCATAAGAAATCATATTCCTTTTTTTAAGGAGTACATAACATTATTTATCATTTTATTTGTGTTGTGGAGAGTTGGGGTCACACTTAGCTGTGCTTGGGGCTTACTCTGAGACTCTGCTCAGGCTAATTTCTGATGGTGCTCAGGGGACCATATGTGGACCATTAGGGATTAAACAGGGTTGGCTGCATGCAGCACCTTACTCTAGGTATATTCTCCTTTGGACAAGTAATTTTATAATTTTACATTTTTTCTTTTATTAACTTAAGAAAATATTGTATGTGCTAGGAGATAGCTCAAAGGTCTAGGGCACTTGCTTTTCTGGAGGGTGGCCTGGTTTGCTCACTGATAATAAATACAAAAATTTTTTAGTGATGACCAAGCAATGTGCTGGGAGTAACTCCAGAGCCTCACCATGTGTGTCCCCAAACAGAAAAGAACAAAGAAGAGAAAGATGGAAAAAAAGGATTGGTTGTTTGTTTCTTATTTTGTGGCTATACCCAGTGGTTCTCAGGATATTCTCTGGTCTCTGAGCTCAGGGATCATTCCTGGAGGGGTTTAGGGAACCATATGGGGTACTGGGAAGTAGAACACCAGTTCACCACATGGAAGGCAAGGAGAGCTCAGGCCCAAAGGAAAATAATTTTTTTTCTTAACCTGGACAACTAGAAACCTCACATTAACATACACTTTTTAGGAAATATAAATTATATTTATTAATCATTTGTTTCCATTTTATCAATGCACAGAATTTTGTGGTTGTTTTTCTATGAACATGTAATTTAGCAGTCTTTGTGAATCTTTTTATACTGTAAATAAACAATAGCTATTTTTTGTAGCTTAACCCCTTTCCAGGGACTTAACTACAAAACTCACCCCCAACACAATGAGAAAACTAGAAAAACAATAAGGAAAAATGTAGAAAACCACCAAAGATGATGAGCGAAAACAATATCACTGAAGACAAAGGAAACTAGAAAATTCTCAGACAGTTCCTTTAATGACACTAAGATGAGGATATTCAATGCATAAAAAAAAATTAAAAATGATAGCACAAGCTAGTCAGCAGAGTACAAAAAAGTATGAGTGTCAAAATTAAAAGCTATTTTAGTCAGAAATGACAGAATAGAACCTGAGCAATAGATTGAGGAGATCCAATGAGAAGGAGGAAACTTAAAAGACAGCAGATTGTGGAAATAAATCTGAAAAGAAATGAACAGCATACTAGAGAACTATGGAGTGAGTTAAAGAACAATATAAGAATCACTGGAGTTCCCTAAGAACAAGAAGATAAATAGGAAGAAACACTCATTGACAAGAGCTTTCCAGAGTTGAGGATTACAAGCACTAGGACCCAAGAGGCCCTAAGGGTCCCAGTACACTAGAGCCAATCAGGAAAACTCCGAGACTCATACTCAAGATGACAAATCTAAAGATAGAAACAGAATGTTGAAAGCAGCAAGGTCAAAAACTTAACTTACATACAAAATAATGCCCATAATATTTATAGCAGATCTTTCAAATGAGACTCTACAAGCCAGAAAAAATATGGAAAGATAGAGTACAAAACTCAACAAACTGAACACCTCACCAATAAGGCTATCCGGGTGGGTTATCATTCAGATTGGAAGGAAACATACAGAGTTTCATGGACAGGCAACAGCTCAGGGAATTCATAGCCTTGGAACCAGTTTTGCAAGAAGCATTAAAAGAGCTTCTTTAAGGGACAAGAGAAACTTCCCATCTTGTGGTATTGAATATGCCACTCACTTAAATTGTACAAGATTAAAAACATAGCAGTTAACCATCACAAATTGACTTCTACTGATTTATTTTCTAATAATTTTATTTGCCATTCTTTTAAGTTTTTGGACCAAGTAGTATGAAAGACTACTTTCTATATTCCTGCCAAAGTGGGGAGAAAAAAAAGTTTAATGTAGGACAAGAAAGATGTGTTCATTAATACCATAAGGTTCAATTACAAAATAGGGGCTGGTACAATAGCACAGCAGATGGGGCATTTGCCTTGCATGTGGCCAACCCTGGTTTGATTCCCAGCATCCCATATGGTCCCCTGAGCACTTCCAAAAGTAATTTCTGAGTGCATGAGCCAGGATTAACCACTGTGCATCACTGGGTAAGACCCAAAAAGAAAAAAAAATAATTTACTGCAATAAATTTTAGATGTTTGAGTTGAAAACTTAGTTATTAAATGAGATAAGGAGCTTATTATATTGTATTACATGATTTAAATTTTCTTATTGACACAGGTTAAAATCATATAGCAATTAATAATTACAAATTGATTTGTTGATTTATCTTCTGTTAATTCCGTTTGCAATTTCTTTAAGTTATATTGGAGCAGCTATGACTGGAGCTATAGCACAGTATGAAGGGCATTTGCCTTGCACGCAGCAGATCCGGGTTCAATTCCTTCGCCCCTCTTTGAGAGCCCGGGAAGCTACCGAGAGTATCCCGCCCACATGGCAGAGACTAGCAAGCTCCCTGTGGCGTGTTAGATATGCCAAAAACAGTAACAACAAGTCTCACAATGGAGATGTTACTGTTTCTCACTCGAGAAAATCAATGAACAATGGGAGGACAATGCTACATTGCTATATTGGAGCAAGCAATATGAAATAAATTTGTTATATGCCTGCCAAGGAGGTAAACTGGGGGATGGCAGGTACCCTGGGGACATTGGAGATTGGATTGGTGTTGCAACATTGTATGCCTGTAAGAATTCTATTATGAACAGCTTTGCAAATCACAGTATCTTAATTTAAAAAAATTTAAAAGCAAATATATAAATAATATGATGAACACTTGGTTTAAAATTTAACAAGGTTATCAGCCTATCAAGATATATGACCAATCTTGAGGAAATTTCAATTTGATTCTCTTGCCATCTACTCATTTTGGATTTAGCATCTTGCAAACACTCCACTACTTTCAATAGCCTTAATTTCTGGAACCATCTAGATTTGCTTTCCCAACAGAGTTTCTGGCATATAAACCATCCCAAATATTCATCTTTTTGATTGGGGATGTGGAGTACGACCATATCTAATAGTACTCAGGCTATTCTTACTTGGCTCTGCACTGGACATTGCTTCTGATAGTGTTCAGGGTATACCTTGTGCAGTCCTGGGATCAAACTGGAGTCTCCTATATATAAAGCAAGTGCTTTAATGTCTGTATCTTTCAGGCCCCACCAACCCACATCTTAAGATGTTACCTATATTAAATGACTCTTTTAAACAAAGAATTGCAATGCTTATTGTGTAATGCTCATTTATCAGAGCATTCTATAGAAGTTTTGAACAGTAGATATTTCTAAGATTAGAGAAATACTATAAATTTACTTCTTTGTAGTTCACATGTATTTAAGATTTTCCTCAATTTAATATCAATGCCTCTCAAAAAAGGTGAAGTTTAATATACATGAAGTCTAATTTACCTAATTGAGTAAACTAGACTTCATATGAAATAAAATATTCTTTTCTTTGTTGATTACAAAAATTAATTTCACTGTATGAGAAAAATCGTATTGCTTTTTAAAAATATATATATATATATACATATATATAGTATAAAGAGAAAGTATCATCTCCACAATAATAGGAGAGATTCAGCAGTTATTCTTTGATAAAAAGCAGTGTCTAGACCAGCTCTGGTCATGCAATCAAATAATCTGTCTTTATCTAGAAACACTCAAAAATTCAGGGCAAGCACAGAATAATGGGGTCAGTTCAAATCTTTACTGAGAAAACTTCCAGATTTCAGGAATGAAATGAATTCTGTGGTGTTCACCTGAAGCCTAATGGACCACAGAAATTTTATATACTTAATTTTTGAGATTCAGGGCTCTCATAAAATAAGTTGACAGATTCCCACTTACCAACTTCAAAGTCCCTCTAGGGAGTGTCATCCTACAGTCACTTAAAATCTATGGTACTGTAAAATTGAGAACTTCCCCAGCTAAACCCAGAGCATGCTAAAAGTACATTATGTACACTCTGTCACTATGTTTGGTGATTTGAAATAAAGCTCAGGATGAAAAAACAAAAACATATTTTCAAGATTCCATTGAAATCATTTCATTTTTTTTTCTAAACCTGTTTTATTTATCCATGGTTGGTCAGAACTGCATTTTATTGTCAGTTCCCATTGGGATACAACCTGGCCTTGATTTGATGAGCATTTTGTTAATCCATGTCTCCTGCAGGGAGAGCATGTGCTCGGATACTGAGCTCTCATTGTGGCAAAGAGTATTTTTTTTTTATGATTTGCTTTGGTTTAGGTTTTTGCTATAGAGCCACACTCTGCAGTATTCAGGATCTACTCTTCACATAATGCTTGGTGACTGTTAAAGATAGTGCTAAGAAAACCATTCAGTATTAGAGGTCAAACCTAGGGTCCTTGTATTCAGAGCATGCCTTCCAGACTTTTGAGTTATCTCCCTGGCTCCTAGCTCAGCAAAAGCTTAGCCATCAGTAGATCACTTTTGAAGGTTCATGTTCCATCTATAGGCTCACAATTTGGACAAGGGTGTAGTTCTTCCACCACAGAGAAATTAGCATATTTGTAGAGGTGTATCAGATGTAAAACAAATGGGAGATATACAAAGATGTTAGTACTTTCTTACTCTAAGCCAAGAAAATTAAATATATTTTGTTATATTTGAGGGGACCACCAAGTGGTGGTCATGGGGCCTGGGTGTTTCTCCATGCAAAATTCATCCACTCAGTTTGTCAATTCAGTGCTAGAGCCTGAAGATATGGTCCAAAAGGGGCCCCCTGGTTCAAGAGAACACCAGGGTCACTGGAGCAGTGCTTAAGGATCACCTAGGACACATCAGATCCATGGGTGCCCATACAGTACAGTCTTGGGCAACCTGAAGATGCAGAAAATACTTTAACTGGATGTAATTCTATAGTCAGGGTACTTTTATTTGAATGAAAAGAATTCCTCACTTCTTTTTTTTGTTTAACAATGTATGGTTGCTTATTTCTCATTGGAGTTGCCAGCTAGTTTTCCGTGTTTTCCTTTCCCTTTACTTCCTGCATAAACTTACTTCTAATTTTGATTTTCATAAATTCAAATGTTCATTACACATATAAGCTAAGCATGTTCTTAAATACACATTTGATTGAACATTATTTTTCTTATTTATTTTATTAATATTTAGAAGATATGTGGCTCTTAGAAAAGATGAAGTCAAGAACTTTACATACAAGTGGTACAATATGGAAAGTATCATGCTAAGCGAAATGAATCAGAAAGAGAGGGATAGACATAGAAAGATAGCATTCATCTGGGGGATATAAAATAATAAAATATGAGATTAATACCCAAGAATAGCTGAGAGCAACACCAGGAGAATTACTCCATAACTTAGAGGCCAGCTGGGTATTCTAGGGGAAAGGACAATTCAGATAGAAAGGGGAACACCAAGTGGAGGGTGTTTGGAGGATCCTCCCAGGAGGGGAGATGCAGGTTGAAAGTAGACTGGACTGAACATGTTCGCCACTCAATGCCTCATTGGCTGATCACAACACCCAGGAGGAGAGAGAAAACAAAAGGGAATGCCCTGCCACAGTGGCAGGGGGGGATGGGGGGATGGGAGGATGGGGGGGGAGGGATATTATCCTGGTGGTGGAAAATGGGCACTGGTGGAGGGATGGGTATATGATCGTGGTATGACCGAGATCCAAGCACAAAAATTTGTAAATCTACAACTGTACCTCATGGTGTTTCACTAATAAAAAAAATATTTAGAAGATAATGGCTTCTATGTAAAATGGAATGTATTTATAATTTTTATTTCACAATTAAAAGAGAAGTGTTAAAACGCTTAATATATAAAAGAAGGATGCTGCATCTGATGAAACACAATGCAGAAAAGTCATCTTTACTCTTATGTTCATTGCAGCAATATTCACAATAGTCAGAATCTGGAAACAGCCCAAGTGCCCAAGAACAGAAAAGCAAATAAAGAAACCATGGCAAATCTACACAAAGGAACACTAAGCAGTGGTTAGGAAAAATGAAGTTATAAAATTTGTTATTCATAGATGGACATGGAGAATATAGTATCATACTAAGTGAAATGGGTCAGAGTGAGAGGAAGAAATGGAAGAATTAAACACATTAATGAGATATATACATATACATATACTTGTACATGTCAAATATATGAATATATATGACATAATATTTGAATAGTACCCAAAGACAGTAGAAATAAGGGTCAGGGTAATGGTCCATATAGGAAACTTGTCATAAAGGGGAGCAGGACTGCAGGTAGGACAGAAAAGGGATCACTATGACAATGATAATTGGAAATGATCACTCTGGACAAAAATGAATGCTTAAAGGAGCTAAAGACATATCATAGTAAGCTTTAAATAGCAGTATTGCAAACCAAAATGACTCAAAGGAAAATAATAGACAGAGAGAGAGAGAGAGAGAGAGTATTTGAATTGAAGGGCCAATAGTTAATGATGCAAATCTAACTGAATGTATCCTATCTAAAATTGAGAGCACTACCTAACTACAGCAGATTTTTGTCATCTAGTAATGTGTCCTGTGATTTAATAAGTTTACATATTTTCAAACTATATTTAAAATCTATTTCTTGGGAACCAGAAAGATAGTACATTGGACAGAGCAATTGCCTTAGATGTTTCCAACCTAGAATTTCAATCCCTGGAATCCCATATAGTTCCTGAATATTACCAAGGGTGATTCCTGAACATAGAACCATGAGTTAGCCCTGAGCATTGTAGGAGTTTGGACCCCAAACACTTTCTCTCTCTCTCTCTCTCTCTATATATATATATATGTGTGTGTGTGTATGTGTATGTCTCTCTATATATGTGTGTCTATATATACATTTATGTGTATGTATATAGTGTAAAGTTCCTAACTTATTTTGTACTCTTTACACATAATATGCATATGTATGCATATTATACATATATATGTGCACATACACATATATATATATATATATCTTGGGTTAACTGTAACGTATCTAGGGAAGAAAGTAAACATATGTAATTATAACACTTTCTGGAAGTGACCCATAATAAAAGCACCTTAAAGTAAAGTAATGTTTTATGAAATAAAATCTAAAGGGGTATATTGAATGGAAAGCAGCACCTTGCTTTATTTCTCTTGCCATTCCTATGTGTACATATTTATTTATAATGTGTTAAATTATATTGCTTCTAGAAATAATGTGATATATGTTTAGGGTAAAATTAGAACTGACATATATAGTATCTTTCTTCAATATAGCCTATAGAATTACTGTTTGGGGATTAACTAGTAATATAAAAAAAGAATTCAAAGTTGGTTGTTTTTCCAGCTGAAACCAGCATGCAGTTCTATAATGAAAAAGCCTATAAAATAGCACAAATTTTTATTGCCAAAATGAAACTCCTCTAGCATATTTCCATGCTAGTACTAACTTCCTAACATGAGAGCAAATGACACAGCAGGGCAAAGAAAATTTTGAAGAGCTCAAGGTAATTTCAAATTAGAGCTCTTTTATTGTAGAAATACCTTTTGTAAAAGATCTTATTAATTTTTCTTTGAACAAAATAAGTTAGGAACTTTAACAAAAGTATCCACCTCACTCACCAATATTATTTCCATAAGCATAACTAAAAACATGTCAAGTTTTTTGAAAATAGAAAATGTCTTCCAAATATATTTTTAGATTTTATGTATTTTACATATTTTAGAGTTAAACAAATCCTAAAGTCAAACACAATATCTACCCCCAAACTTTGATTCATAATCACTTTTTACAAGCACTACTTTATTATCACAAATTGAATGTGGTATTTAATGTTATTAAAGAGCATTAATATAAGGCAGAACTGTTCTGGATCCACAGAAATAAAAAAACAGAATTAAAGGATACTTTAATTGTATGAAAAAAAAAACAGACCATTGGTGGTAAATTTAATGTAGTCTACATAGCTATTCATACATAATGATGCATACAAACAAACAACATATTGTAATGCCATATCATTTCTATAATTTAAAATAAATTATTAAACTCTTTGCTGCTTAAAATAATTTTCTACCAAAATTTAGTACTGACCCATGAATGCCTGTGACAAGGAAGATCAAATTCCCATTGATTTTGGTGCAGTTTATAAATTTGTCAATGTTACTGGAATCCACAGTCTGAGCTGACATCAGTGATCCCGTCCCAATGCCATCACAAGCTGTAGAAACAAAACTCACATTTAGGAAGTTGAGAACTTCTTATTCAGCCAATTAAAGAATCATTATAAATAAATTGTTGTCTAGCAAATAAATAATTCATTCATAAAATATTTACTACTGGGAATTCTTTATAATATTTTCTGTACTATAATCTAGTGATCATCACTCGTTATAAAAATATATATTTTATACCAAAACTCAAAATGCACATGTAACACATACATCACTTAAATCACTTAACTTCCCGTTAGTCGTCGATTTGCTCGAGCGGGCGCCAGTAACGTCTCCATTTGTCCCTGTCGCGTGCTAGTGTAGCCCAATGGCATCTCTTCGCTCCGGGAACATGGAGGGCCTCAAACCGATCGTTCATGACCTTGACAAAGAAGTCTGACCATCTGGTAGGTGGGCGGCCACGCGGTCTCTTGACATCCCGTGGAATCCAATCAGTAACAGCTCTAGTCCAACGGTCGTCTTTAAATCTCATTACGTGACCAGCCCATCTGATTTTCGACACCTTGGCAAATGAGACAGCGTCCCTGATCCTTGATCGTCGACGAATGTCAGAACTCCGGATTCTTTCTCTCAATTGAGTGAAACGTGATATTCCAAGCATAGCTCTTTCTATTCTTCTTTGGGAGACCTGAATGGCGTTCTCATCTTGTTTGCGTAGGGCCCAGGTCTCTGAGGCATATGTTAATGCAGGAAGAACAGTGGAATCAAAGAGATGTGCCCGGAGCCAGAGGTTCTTCGTCCTCTTAGCTATTTCTTCGACGTTCTTGAAGGTGTTCCAAGCCGCTCTCTTCCTCCTGCGCAGCTCGGGTGCCAGGTCATTTGTCATGTTGACCTCTCGACCTAGGTACACATAGCTGTTGCATTCGGAGATGGTCGTTCCATTGAGAGCGAATGGGGCGTCAGGAACAAGGCTGTTTCTCATAAACATTGTCTTCGTAAGATTCAGCTGTAGTCCTACCTTTCCACACTCACGGTCAAAGTCGGCCAGGATTTGTGCTGCTTGGCTGATGTTTGGTGTTATTAAAACAATGTCATCAGCAAAGCGGAGGTGGTGTAGTTGCCGACCATCTATCTTCACTCCCATTCCTTCCCATTCCAGTCGTCGCATGATGTTCTCGAGGGTGGCACTGAAGAGTTTTGGTGAAATGGTATCACCCTGCCGCACCCCTCTCTTGACATCAACGATCACTTCTTTGTAGAATGGTGAGATCCTGGTAGTGAATCCGCAATACAGCTCACGGAGGATCCTGATGTATTGGGCTTGAATGCCCTGATTGGCTAGGGCTTCAATGACCGCTTCCGTCTCAATAATCTTATCTTTTAAAATATCTTAAGGCCCGGGGCTTAAACTTCATATTGTATACCTTTTTGTGCATCTTTTGTGCCTACCAGGTCATCATACTTATATTGGTAAACCATTAATGTGTGCTATTGATGCTAAAATGATTGTTATGCTAAAGCATAATTATGCTTCACTTAAGCATAATTTTTTAAGATTTTCTACATTTAGAATAAAGCATACAATTATTTCTGAATTCCTATCAAAGTGGATACTCATTTTTATGTGGACTATTTTAGTATATATCATTGAAAGCCAATGAAACACTATTATGACAGTTGTATTTTTAGGAAATTGCTCAAAGACATGAAAATTGAGTTTTGGTTGTAGAAATAGTGTTCTTTGAAAGGATTAGTCAGTCCACTAAACTGTGAATGAAGACTTTAACTTAAGTACTTCTTTAAATTAAAATAATCTTATTTAAAACTCACCTTTTGGGCAAATATCTGTGCAAGGTTTACACATTTTAATTCCATTTTCTTCTACTTCCATCTTGGAACTAGGGCAGGCACGTACACAAGAACTGGAATCGACTACAAAGTTATCTGTTTTTTAAAAAGTAAAATATTAAAATTAGCAATACTGTTATTGTTCAGAAAATATGCTTAAAATAAAATTATGTATGGATTTGAGAATGGGTACTAACATTGTTAGTATACATGTCTCTTCCCCTAAAATAATTATTTACTTAGACACTTCAGTCTGAAATAGCATCCTCAGATATCCAATTCAATATGAGGGTAGTGTGTATTAACAACTAGTATTTGTGTGATTACTGCTCCAAATCCTGAATTGCTCCTAAGAAAGAGTGCATTTCTTTTATAGACTGAGAAAACTACATGACATTTAGTTTGTATTTTTCAACAGTTCCACTTCATTTCATGTCTTGATTCAAGTTTTAAATCTAAAAAATACTTCAAGTTACAGAAACCACATACACACACAAGGCTGAAATTCAACTTTTTTTTAGATCAAAAGAATGTACTTCATAACCAGGAAGAAATATAAACTGTTTTCCATCTTTAGATAACCAGTCCCCAAGCTATCATACCCCATTACTTATTTGAAGAGGCAAAATGAAAATAGAAAAGAAAAGAAGGAAGGGAGGAAAGAAGAGTGGGAGGGAGGGAGGGAGGGAGGGAGGGAGGGAGGAAGGGGCATCAGGCTAGCTAATGCATTAGAAGTGGTATGTAAAATAAAGCAGGGACAATTTTTATTATCTGATCTGTTGGTAAAAATTTTTATTGCACCTGTTTGGGAGTGCAATAATCAAGGAAGGTTACACGAGGGCATCTTATCCCTCCTAAAAGACAAGTTATTGGGCATCTCAAAATCTAGGACCTCTTATAATGAAGACATTGAGAAAGCACAATATATTCATCCCCATACTTCGTCCTGAAGTCAACAAACTTCTACATCTGAAACATTGCTTCTGACTTTATATTCTGTAGCACGGAAGGTTTCTGACCCTGGGGTCAGGTGAACAGAGGAGGAAAAGCATGATGCGGCTTCAGAATAGAGTATAAGTAGTTTTGTTTCATTGAGTCATAAAAACCAAGAGACTCCATGATATGGGAAAATATATAGGATATACATATTTATATATAATTATTTTAATCATTATAACAGTGACTAGTGTTGTCATTGTTTTCAATTGCTTGGTTTTAAGTGCTATCCCCGGCTGGAGCAATAGTACAGCAGGTAGGGTGTTTGCCTTGCATGCGGCCAATCCAGGTTCGATTCCCAGCATCCCATATGGTCCCCTGAGCACCACCAGGAGAAATTTCTGAATGCATGAGCCAGAAGTAACCCCTGTGCATCGCCGGGTGTGACCCAAAAGCAATAACTAACTAACTAACCAAATAAATAAATAAATGCTATCCCTCTGATCTTCATTCCCTATCCTTTCCACCCTTTTAATGATTGAGAAAGTGAGAGGGGAAAATAAGATTTTTACCTCCTACATTTTGCAGAGGATAAAAATTCTAAAAAACTAAATTATTATTTTATAATCACATGACTAGTGGACGGGCTGGAGCGATAGCACAGTGGTAGGGCGTTTGCCTTACAAGTGGCCAACATGGCCGACCCGAGTTCGATTCCTCTGCCCCTCTCGGGGAGCCCGGCAAGCTACCGAGAGTATTCGATATGCCACACACAGTAACAACAAAGTCTCCAATGGAGATGTTACTGTGCCCGCTCGAGCAAATCGACGATCAACGGGAGGGCCTTTATGACTAGTGGACAAAGTCAGAAGTTATAGTATGACAATTCAGTGATCCTAATGCTTTGCATGCTGTTGTCTGCACAAAATGAATAAAACCATAACATCTATATGTGCAAAGTCACCAATGTAGTCATTTTATCACCAACTCCAATAGGTAAAACAGAGAACTGTTCCCTCGTTTACTCTTTACAATGAAACTGACTTGAACACATATCAAGATGGAGATTATGCTGAATTCTGATGAACGTTAAGCAGATCATTTTAAATCCCCTTTATGAGTTAACAATTTACTAAATTGCCGTTAATATGCCCTTCATGCCCATGGTCATTGTTTAAGAATAGACGTGGTATTTAAAATTCTATATTATACTATAAGTAAAAAAAATAGAAAATGATTTTAGGCAGAAGTTATTGTACTTAGAAGAAAGCTTTATTCATGATGTAGCTTGCTTACCCTTAAGTAATCACTTTTTATAGCAACATTATGACAGGGCTATAGCTCAGGGGTAGAACATTTGAGAAACAATATTATGTGCAAAAACAGGGAATTATAGGAAAAAAGGAGATAGAAGACAATGACATAATAGTCACAAGCATGCCTCTTTTTAATGAGACTTAAAACCCATTATTTTACTTCTTTTGAAAAGTAATTATTTGTGAAATGGTAGTAATAGTACTCAGCCCCAGACAATTTACCATATTATTACAAATTTTAAATTAAAACACATTTAAATATACTTCTTTTTTATTATTTAAAATGATGCTTGAATTAATTTGACGTGTTTTATCATTTTACTTACGTGGACACTTCTTGACACAGAATGCTCCGTATGTGTACTTTGCATTGAAGTTATGTTCTAATTGAAAAGTGGTTGGATTGTAGACAAAAGTTTGGGGACACTGAGTAACACACGCTCCACTGTCATTGAAATTCATGCAGGCCTGTAATATAGCAAATATTTGTTTCATTTAAAGATCACTTCCAAAATACCTGCATAAGTAATACTGCTGCAAACATTTCTTCAATTATCTGTGTTCTTTTCTTCTTATGCATCAAGTTTACTTTTTTTAATCTGAAAATGTGAATATTTTAATTATTTCTGTTTATTTTTAAATACCAATTTGTTTAGTGTTTTATATGAAACTATTTTTCCAATGTCAGTAAGTCTGTCACTAATAGTTATTATGTTCAAATTATTCGGTACTTATACACTAATTTTTTAAACTGATAATGTTCAAATGTTCAAGGTAGGTAAGATCAAAGAATGTTTTGGGTATTTTGTTTGTTTGGTTGGTTTTGTTTGCGGGCAACACCTGCACTGGGTCTGTGTTCATTGATCACTCCTGGTGATGCTAAAGGATTCTGTTGGTGCAGATTAAATTGAAGTCATATGCAAGTAAATGCCATAACCCCTATACTACCTCTCTGACTCCAGAGAAAAATAGTTTAACTCACAATTCTTTATGCTGAAGCTGCCACAGATTAACAAAATTCATACTTCTATAGGCTGGACTTTCCTTTGACCTGTGGTTTTTGTCTGACGTGATATAGTAAACACAAACATTGCCATTGTACAGTGAGAAAACTTTATGATGTTCATTTAAACTAGGCTTTGAGAAGGTGACTAAGCAAGTATAAATTCAGAGACATTAATGTCAAAAATATAAAGAAGTAGCAAAAGATAGCCATGATTGATATAATGCCTTTTCCTCTATAGCTTCTTCATGATGACTTAGTATTTAATAAAAGGCATTAAGTTGGAGAAAAACATTTCATTTCTGCTGACTTACACATTGGAATGGAGACCTAATTTTGTTCATATTTTAAAAAATACATTTTCAATGAATTAAAAACAATTTGCCACCTGCGAGTCAGATATCTGATATAAAAATATAGCGTATATATCAGGGTATAATTAATAAAGGCGATGAACTAATTATTTTAATTAAAGAATTAGACCTTCATGGGAATTATTTAGACTTTTGAAAGCAAGCTAATATAAAATATATTTTACATTATCCTCATAGGCTCTTTGTATGGTTATTAATAGGCATTAATTTATTCTGTTTCCACAAAACATTTTCATCATCAATTGTTGTTTTAGTAAGTGCTTTATCACAAACATGACAATTCCCTGATGATGATCTACTAGATGCATAATCAGAATGAGATTCACTGATGATACATTATTCACTAAGATGACACTTACCAGGAAGGATCTATTAAAAACCAATCTAGAAAACTCAGTAAGTTTTAATTTATGGCTATAAAACTTCATGGGTCCTCATAATTGCTTTACTAACATACTTTATGCAGTGTTGCACACAGATTGCTTGGCAACAAAAAGAACATAAGCCATCAGAATCAAACAAATTTACCTTCCAGATTGCATATAAAACAACCATGTAATTCACACCAAAGTTTTGATCTAGCTTTCTTGAACATTCTGTTCCAAATGCCAAGGTAGAATCACTGTACCATTCCATAAACATAATGAAATGATAATTCAGAAAGTCACTTGGCACTGTGCTTATCATAATAATGGAGCGCAAAGTTATGGCTATTCTTGATGTTCATTTTTTTAACTGTTTTGGAATTGTTAGTATAATTAACACCTGATATTCCAAATCAAGTTTTCATCCTTTGAAAGGTAATAGGCAAAGATGAAACTCAGCTTAAGACCTGCAAAGAATATATTACTTAAATTTTAAAATATTTTCTTGCTCAGTATTCAATTCCACTGGAATATTTCTTCCTCACTTTGTATCCAATATTTCTTGCTCAGTATTCAATTCCACAGGAATATTTCTTCCTCACTTTGTATCCAATTAAACTTCACATAATTAAATGAATTATAAAAATTCTTGGGGGTGGAGCAATAGCACAGCGGGTAGGGCTTTTGCCTTGCATGCGGCCGACCCTGATTAGATTCCCAGCATCCCATATGGTCCCCCAAGCACCGCCAGTAGTGATTCCTGAGTGAGTGCAAAGCCAGGAGTAACCCCTGAGCATCACCAGGTGTGACCCAAAAAACAAAAACAAAAACAAAAATAAAAACTTCTTATAATCAATTGCAATTTATGTTTGATCACTTTCATATTTAATAATTAAAATTTTCATTTCAAAATAATGCATATATATGTGTACTAACAAATGCATTTGAGTATGTATTGTATTTTTTAGAAATTGAAAAAAATTAATGTTCATTTTTAACAAAAATCTTACAGCATGATTGCTAGTTTAAATACCAATATTCTTCTTTTATTTTTTCTTTTTGGGTCACACCCAGCTATGCTCAGGGGTTACTTCTGGCTCATGCACTCAGGAATTACTCTTGATGGTGCTTGGGGGGCCAAATGGCATGCTGGGAATCGAACTGGATCAGCTGTGTGTGTGCAAGGAAAATGCCCTACCCACTGTGCTACCTCTCCAGCCTCCAATACCAATATTCTTACATATGAAATTGTGTTAAGAGAAGCTTACAGACTTGCTAGTACGTCTTTAAAAGAATATAAAGAACTATAACAGGTTATAAAATGGTAATTGAAAAGTATACTCAATAAGTTGTAAATATAATTTTAGGGAAGAAAAAGTGTCCTTTTCTAGAATAAAAAGCATACTTATTAACATTTAAATTGTTTTACTTGTGTGTAGGATAACATTGTTTTGTCCTTCCTGCATAGCCGCAGGTAGTTTAGGTTTATTGGGTTGCTCCCATCACAGTGCTCACATTTCTCTGTTTATCTGTAACTTCTTTCTTTGTGCTCTGTTGCCTTGTAAATATTGTCTTTTTCTTCTCCTCAAGTCCATTGCAGTTTATTCAGAGCAAGGTCCTTTTTGTATGGACACAAAAAGACAGTATATGTTATGCTTTTTTAATGTGACTCTCAGTGTTATTTTCCTTCTGGGCATCTGTTCTCTGGACCTAAGCCTCAGCTGCCCTTACTTCCTAGCACCCCCAAAAGCAGGGTCCCGATGAAGGACTGAATGGAATCAGGTCAAGCAGTAAGCTATGTGCTACCCTGGCATCGATAAGGGCTTCGCCAAAGTGCCACAATTCTTAACTATAAGTTAAGAGCTTGATCATGGACAAATGCTGTCATGATCCAAAAGTAATGACGATACTAGGACCCTGCTAGGGATAGGAAAGACTAATCTGACCTGAGCACTGTAGTCTGAGATCGGGATGACCCCATGAGAGCAATTCAATAAGCTTAATGAATCTCTTACTGTGTCCATACAAAATGATTAATATTATGAATGCTTATATGTTTGTTGGACAAGGAGAGAAGAAACACACCCATGGGATTCCACCCTTGTGTGGGTCTTCCTGCTGAAAGAGAATCTGTCCTAGAAGCAGCATCCCCTGAGGGAAAGAACTTTAATCCTATTAATTGTGACCACACCTACGTGTAAACCCAAATCCTCATGGTTTGGGGATTTAACTAGACTGTAAGAGTGGGCTGGGGGATCAAGGTCCAGTTCCAGAGCAAGGAGAATAAAAGGGGATCAAGGAGGACAATGAAGTAGCATGGGCGAGGAAGAAGCAGGAGGAGAATCAGAAGAGAATGGAGAGGAGATCAGAATAAAACTGCAACTGAGACCAACCATCCTGGCTCTCCTTCCTTTCTCCACCTGCCTTTGGCCTATCCCTATCCCTATCCAGTCCACACACAACGGCTCTAGAGCACCAAATGTGGGTGGTGAGATAGAGCCACCCAGAGAGCCCACTAACACACTCTTCTGTATGCGTAGTTTTTACACTTGTGTATTTATAAATATTATAATTTTGAACAATAATCTATATTTCAATAATTTTAATAATTTCACTTGTAAACAACATAAACTGGAAAATAAGTTCATAAATATATCTGCTATGCTGTAGAAATGTACACTCAAACACAAAATGTGGTGCCTGCACTCCAGAGACTCAGTAGCTATATGATAATTACTGTAAGATTTGGAAGAATAACATCAACCATTAAAAGACAGTATCTCCATACAGTCCTCTTCATATGCTCCACTAATGTTCACTTATATAACTTAAGATGAACATTGCATAAGATAAAATTTATTTCACAGAAACAATCTTAGTGAATTATTCTCCACTCGGTGAGAGAATGACTTCTAGGAAGGCAGAAACAACTTTCATAATCCCAATATGGTTCTTTTTCTAGTAAAGATGTTAAAAAACCATTGGACATGGTAGCTTAACAGGAGAATAAAAGGGAAAGTTCTCAAACATACAAAGCAGTCTGTATCCTTGGGTCCAGAGCAACCTCCAGCACATTCTCGATGGCAGCAGTCACTCACATAGGGTCCGTAGCACCGCCCATCACATTGTTCTGCACACACTGTCCGTGTCACTGAAGGAGACAGAAAAAGAGCCTCTATAAAAGTCAGTCACTAAGATAAACTCCTTTTTTTTAGGGTGGGGGGTCACACAGGGCAATGCACAGAGGTTACTCTTGGCTCTGCACTCAGGAATTACTCCTGCTGGTGTTTGGGGACCATATGGGATGCTGGGAATCGAACCTGGGTCGGCCGCGTGCAAGGCAAACATCCTACCCGCTGTGCTATTTCTTGAGTCTCCACCAAGAGAAACTTCTAAGATGAACTCCAGCATCTGAGAGAAGCTGAGTTCTGAAGTCTCTACTCTCAGTCCATTAGCAGCACAATTCAGCAGATATTAACCAAATGAAGTTTGCAAGTGGATCAAAATGAATGTACAAAACCTTCAATAGTAATGCATATAATTGATTTTTCTGTTCTCCACAGTTCCAGAAAATACTGACAATGTTTTGTAAAACTTAGCAAGAAAACATCACATTGGAAATAACTGAATGAGATGATCCTCCTGTAGTCTGGAATAGATGGAGTAGGCAGTGAGGTCATTTTGCAGTCCACATGGACATGTGGGACATAGTATCCCAGAATTGAATCTAAGATGTTTAGCACTAAGTTGAATAGAAAAGTAAATATTCACTATTACATGACATATTGTATGATACATATAGATAGATGATAGAAAATGTGGAAATGCGATTTTTTCTATTCCTGAGATTTAAATTTTGAATTTTCTAGCTAACTTGCTAGAAAAAAAGTCATCTACTTAAGGAATGGTGCAAAATAAAAAAAGAGAAAATTAAAAATAAGAAGAAAAGTTATCTTGTTAAATAGTGTTTAGGGGACTAGAGACTAGAGAGAGAGTAAAGCAAGTTGCTGTTTTTCTTGAATGTACTTGACCAGGTTCGATTCCTTATACCCTATATGGTCCTCCAAAATCAGCCCAGAGATATCTTTGTGCTCAGAGCCCAGAATAAGCCCTGAGCATCACTGGATGGGACCTGCAAACCAAATAAGCAAATATAATTTATTAATGCAAATAAATTGTATAGGTTATATATCACAATGCTTTCTTGGATTCTGTAATTTCATTCAGCATAGTTTCTTTCTATCTCTCTAGTACACAAAGATTTGCTAACTATTACTAAAGCAGAATTATGTGCTTTAGTAAAATTATGTGTCCTCCAAATTGCTTTTTGGAAAATTTATTTCAATTATGGGCTTATGCCTGGATGAAATCTTTCATTCCCTAATCTGTCTACTATTTATTTATAGATTACTATCAGATCACAATATTATTTCTCTATTGAGTTATTGGATATATTTCATATATTCTATTGAAAACCCTAATAATTTTAGAGAGGCTTCATACAAACAGATGGGATCTCAAACCCTGTACTAGATGGTCCCCCAAGTGCTGATGTGTTCAACCCAGCCTCACCCCCGCCCCCAGTACCACACACTCTGTACTCAGGCAGTGTATCAGACACCAACATTGAAAGATAGGGCCCAATTTGCCATGATAACTGGGAATGACTCTGGTGCAGCCTAAGAACTTCTTAAGAAACCTGCTCACTCTGGCCCCCTGAAAAAAATGGCGGAGAAGAAAGTACTGTTTTTATGAGGATGGAAAAATAGTACAAAGGGTAGGGTGCTTATCTTGCACTCAGCTGACCCAGAACAGATCTGTGGCACCACGCATGTCCTCAAAGCACTGCCAGGAGAGATCTTTGGACACAGAGCCAATATTTAATCCTGAATAACATCATGTGTAGCCCCAAACCCCAAATCCAAAACTAATAAATAAATGTTTTAATCATATGTATAAGATTAGCATTTATCATTTTTTAAAAAGCAATTTTTTCCATATAAGTGGTTTTTTATATATATAATATATATATATATCTCAGATGTATTCAGTGTACTTTGGCTTTAGATATATCATTCTGTCTCAGGGCTATTCAAATAAGCATTGTCTTAAATTATTACATATTTTAAAAAATTTAAGATATTGTAATAAATCTATTTTTTTTAAATAAAAAACAAAAATAAAATAAAAAACAAACACTGTCCTCCCATTGTTCATCGATCTGCTAGAGCGGGCCCAGCAACATCATGAGGCTTGTTGTTACTGTGTTTGGCATATCAAATACATCATGGGTAACTTGCCAGGCTTTGCCATGTAGGCAAGATACTCTCGGTAGCTTGCTGGGCTCTTCAAGAGGGGTGGATGAAGCGACCCAGCTCGGGCAGGCCGGCTGCGTGCAAGGCAAATGCCCTACCGCTCTCCTATAGCTCCAGCCCTTTTAAAAATAGATTGATAGTTTATTTTAAAATGTAAAAGTAAGATATTATTAACACTAGAACTATCATTTTTGTTACCAGGGTTAGAATATGTTTAATTCCATTTGAAAAGTTAGTAAACATGAAACACAGTTGGAAGTGTTTGCCTGACAGACAGGTAATAGAAAGAATCACCAGATAAAAGCAAAAAGTTAACCTCCAAACTGTGATGTAACTCAGTTTAAAACTTCTCTTCACTGCTGTGTGAGATTTTCTAGAAAGAGAATGATTCCTTTGCATACAATGGTGCAAGCAAAATTAGAAGAGCACCAAAACGTAATTCCACTTAATGGCATTTGTTGACTAATAACATGACTTAATATGAATTAACCATATCAAATGACAATCATATGTTATTAAGATGAAATCACAAAACAAAAGACTTCCTAAAATCAACAAGATAACTCATTTAGCCTCTATGGGAACATTAACTGATAATTACTTTGGTTATATTAATTTCCATCCTTGCTTGAATATTATTTCATTAGAACTTCCCCCCTGTATTTAGCATCCTTTCTAAATTGCTTTATTGGGTCCATTAAAATATTTGGGTCAGATTTTAACTAGCTTATTCACTGGTGGCACATCACAAACAATAACTGTTTAATATAAAAGTTAAAAACTGGGAAAGTTAAAATGATTGTTTCAGAAGGAGTAAACTTAAAACTGGGAATGAGGATTAATTCAAACGATCCAAGAGAATCAGATACTAAACCTTAAGAAACTGATCGATTTCATATGGAGTGAATACTTCTGAGATTTTTCATTACTCCCCCCAAAATGAACTAATGGTAAGTAAATTTATCACATAGTTATCCCACAGAACTGTGACTTAATTACATCCTTAAAAATAGATAACTAGGTAGATAGAATGGTAAATACATACATACACACATATATATTTTGAAACACACTTCAATTTCATCCTTAAACTAATGTATTTTATTTGGAGGAGTTTGACAATTTGTTAATAAATCATGCATTATTGCTTCTTATGAATACCAAGATGGACAAAGAACATCCATACATAATATAACTAGAATTAAAATCACAGTAACACTTTACAAAAGATAAAAAGTAAATAAGGTTGAATTTATGCAAAATCTTCTGAGTGTTCTTTCCACATGTTTTCATATTCTGTTACTTTTCTCCTCTTCCTTTATCTCTTTCCTCCTTTCTAAGTTCATCCGCATTCCATCCTTGTCTTTTGAATATATTTTCTTTACTCAGTATTTCTGAATATGGAGTATATATTAGAACTTCTGAAAGTGTCTTTCATACTTTAAGAGTGAGACGCTTGTATAAATGAAGATCTTAATGCAGTTCTTCCAGTAAGTTTCAAGATTGCCTCTTTTAAATACAGTCCCTAGGAAACACACTAGCAATTGACCCATAGATCTCATTTAAGTGACAAGATGTACACATGGCACTTAAAATGAAATTAATTTTAAGATGTCCGTGAAGCACATATTTCCTATTAAGTAAAAGTTAACAGCTATTTTCTAGGATGCAAATTAAATTATTAGGTTCTACAAAGGATTTCAATAAATAGTTGAGATTCACTATTATATTTGTGAGAAGGGAGGGGTAGGGTTCTAGGTATTTACACTATTGGATTCTTCTTTAAATTTTTATCATAATGACTAAATTCTTATTTAATTTGCTATTTGTACTGTTACCCTTTCAGTCTCTAACTAGCTGATCAAGACAAATAATCTGATGTGCAATCAGGAAATAATATTTGGAAAGAAAATGACTTAAAGTAGGAACAAATATTGCTTTGGCTAATTCTGAAGGCAAAAGCTCCAGAAAAGGATGCATTAGAAAATTTATTTATTTCATCCATTGGTCATCTACATAAAAGCAACCTGGGCAATCTAAATATCACTATAACCACATTTTAAACATAGTATATTTTTATTTATTTTATTCTATTGCATTTTGTATTATATGCACCACATCTCCAGGCATCCTATATCATTTCTGTTTATTGACCCAGTTTTGACAGGGTCCGTGAAACACATCATGTCCATCGAATAAATAGCACTTCAAGGGAAAGGTTTTAACTGTATTGTGTTTGCAGTTCCTTAGAGGTTTGAGCAAGACAGATGCTTAGGTTAAAGCAGGGATTATTCATCTGGATATAAAGAAGAATGCATTGCTTATTAAAATGATAAAATTTTAATGAGTTATAGAATGGACTTTTATTTTTTGTGTGTTGTGTTTGGGGGCGATAACAGTGATACTCAGGACTCACTCTTAAGCGGGTGTGCAGAGGGCTCACTGCTGGAGCTGCACAGCACACATATGCAGAGCTAGGGGTTGAATCCAGGTTGGAAGTTTTCAAGGCCAGTGTCCTATCCTCTATGATATCTCTGTAGTTCATGAACTTGATTCTTCATTTGTTCGTGCTGAAGGGAAATCTCTTTTGGATCCACTAAAGTTAAAACAGTGGACTAGGTGAAATGTTTTTAGCGGAATTCTTTTATTTCTATAATCAAATATGTGTTCCTCTGAATGATGTATTTGGGATTAAAAAATTGGCATTTTTTATTGAAAAAATAGTGTACTATAACAAAAAATGTGTAATATGCTTTCACAATATGACTTAAATGAAGCAGGCAAAACTCTTAGAGCATCCTGAAATGTCTAGAAAATCAATTAAACTTGTATAAAA